GCTGAGGCGAGGGCCACAATTCAAAAACGATTCGCCCTGCATCCACGTACGTGTAGCTTTTTGAGCTTGCAAGCTTCAATAACGTGAATGGCGAGGAAATCTGCGCAAAAGGCCTAGCCCGCCCTACTGATAGGTCTGAGCACCAAATGCAGTGGCGGTGAAACAAACGCAGTATGTACGAACACGTACTTCTTGGGCTCTCGGCTCCAATAATAAGATTTCCCAACGCACGGGTGGACATTTCCCAGTGATCTTCTCACGAATCAACCGACCCATCATGCCGATGCCAAGAAGCCATTGCGTCGTTGATCGCCAGCTCATCAGGGGAGGGCGCGGTGAAAGCCGCTGATCCCATCAGACCGTACGAAGCGGCGGTGGATTCACCACCCCAGCTCCCCGAGTCCTGGGTTTCGCTGCCCAACTGGGGCCACCATATGGCCCATGCATCTGAAGGACCAAGAAGCGGCATAAACATCAAGCCCGGGCAGGGCGAAAGAAAAGGGGGATAGCAAAGGGGGGGTTCAAAATCAGCTCACGTAGCTGATTTTCCTGGTGCCTCCCAGCGCCGGAGGCGGCGATGTATCGAGGAACGGGCGCCTCGGCGGGGCCGAAACCAGCTGCGAGCAGGGGCATCTCGGATTTGTAAAGGGACGACATCGAGAGGTTCGCCTGCGCTGGTCGATCCCACTCCAAATGTGCATAAATCTCCTGGAGCGGGGAGCCACCTATCTCCAAGATGGGATTCATTGAATGAGGGCACGGCCTCGAATATATGTAGGTGTACCCTCTCTAACGAAGCCGACCGAAGATTTCTCAACCCCCCCTTCCCCAATCCCCCCCTTTCGTCTGGCCCGACTCACGAGCGGCGAGCATATCCACATCGACGCCCTCGCGGTCTGGACCCTGGGGCGCGGTCCACGGGTGGACCTGGGACAGGTCCTCCTCCTCCTCCTCCTCCTCCTCCTCTCCTCCTCCTCCTCCTCCTCCTCCTCCTCCTCCCTCCTCCTCCTCCTCCTCCTCCCCCTTTCCCAATCCCCCCCTTTCGTCTGGCCCGACAAGCTCAGGGGTCCATCTGCGGCTTCCTCGGCCGGCGCCGGACGCCCCGCGCCCTGCGCTCCACGCCGCCCCGCCCTCCCCCCGCGCGCAGAAAACCCCTCCTCCTCCTCCTCCTCCTCCTCCTCCTCCCCCTCCTCCTCCCCCTCCCCTCCTCCCCTCCTCCTCCTCCGCCTCCCCTCCCCCCTCCCCCCTCCTCCTCCTCCTGCCTCCTACTCCTCCTCCTCCTCCTCCTCCTCCTCCTCCTCCTCCTCCTCATCCTCCTCCTCCTTCCTCCTCCTCCCCCCCCGTCCCCCCCCGCCACTAACAAAACCCGTGCGCCGGCTACACGCAAGAGTGACCCCGGGTCCGCCGCGTGGGATTCTCGATTCGATCCATCTTACAGAAGAGGAAGACACGTTGTCTGTTTCTGACCCTTGCGAGCGAGTGGGCACTTTGCGAGAAGAGGCGCGAGCTCGGCGATTGCTGTGGATGTTGACCGCATCCTGTCCCGAGCCGTTTGGCTTGCCGGCCCCCAGGGGTGCGAGGCGGGCCTCGCGAGCCCCGCATGCGGCCACACGCGAGGAGCGACCCTGGGCAATAAGTGACCCTTGGTGCGCGGCTCTCTGGGGGGGCCGCGGGGGAGGGGGCCAAGAGCACAGGCGCGCAAGGCGCCACTGCCGCCTCGCGCCTCGGCGATCGGGGGGGCCCCTCTGGGCCCGCGCCGCAGGCCACCCGGGCCAGAGGTCACTCTTAGACCGGAGGCGACGATCGGGGCGAGCAGCCTGGGGGGGAGCAGTGCATGTAAGTCTCCTCTGCGGTGGTGGTGATCCAAACCTTGAAGGTGTGGGCACGTCGTGCCCCCAATTGGGAAATCAGTTTCGAGTTTCGGTTTCTGCATTCCCCACCGCACTCTCCTTATCATGTATCCAGGGGTGCCGATGATCTGTGTCTCCGACAGGGCTCCCAGGCGAATGCGTGTCATGCCCGCCCCCGGGCTACTCGCCCCCATCGTCGCGCCTCTGACCTTACGTCTGGTCCACAGGGGGAGGCCCGGCGCCGACTCGCAAGGCCCGTGCGGACCTGCTAAAATTCTTCTCCTCCTCCTCCTCTCCTGCCTCCTCCTCCTCCTCCTCCTCCCACTCCTCCTCCTCCTCCTCCTCCCCCTCCCCTCCCCCCTCCCCCCCCCTTGCCCCCCTCCCCCTCCCCCTCCCCCTTCCCCCTCCCCCTCCCGCCTCCTCTCCTCCTCCTGCTCTCCTCCTCTCCTCCTCCTCCTCCTCCGCCTCCTCCTCCTTCCTCCTCCTCCTCCTCCTTCCTCCGCTCCTCTCCTCCTCCCTCCTGCCTCCTCCTCCTTCTCCTCCTCCTCCTACGCTCCTCCTGCCTCCTCCTCCTCCTCCTCCTCCTCCTCCTCCTCCCCCTCCTCCTCCGCCTCCTCCTCTCCTCCTCCTCCTCCGCCTCCTCCCCTCCTCCTCCTCCCTCCTCCTCCGCTCCTCCTCCCTCCTCCTCCTCCTCCTCCTCCTCCTCCTCCCTCCTCTCCTCCTCCTCCTCCTCCTCCTCCTCCTCCTCCTCCTCTCCTCCTCCATCCTCCTCCTCCTCCTCCTCCTCCTCCTCCTCCTCCTCCTCCTCCTCCTCCTCCTCCTCCTCCTCCTCCTCCTCCTCCTCCTCCTCCTCCTCCTCCTCCTCCTCGCTCCTCCTACTCCTCCTCCTCCCCCCCCCATCCTCCTCCCCTCCTCCTCCTCCCTCCTCCTCCTTCCTCCTCCTCCTCCTCTCCTCCTCCTCTCCTCCCCTCCTCCTCCTCCTCCTCCTCCCCTCCTCCTCCTCCTCCTCCTCCTCTCCTCCTCCTCCTCTCCTCGCTCCTCCTCCTCCTCCTCTCCTCGCTCCTCCTCCCCCCCTTCTCTTCCTCCTCCTCCTCCTCCTCCTCCTCCTCCTCCTCTCCTCCTCCGCCTCCCCCCCATCCTCCTCCTCCTCCTCCTCCTCCTCCTCCTCCTCCTCCCCCCCTCCTCTTCCTCCTCCTCCTTCTCCGAAGAAGAAGAAGAAGAAGATCGGGGCCCCCGCCGAGCCGGCGCGGGGTGGCCACAGGGCCAGCACGAAGTCCGAGGGGGGTCGCGGTGGGCTGCCCCCCCTCGACGAACGACTGGCACACGCCCAGGCCCATAGAGGGGGTCGGAGGAAGGGGGACTGGCTGTGGGCATGGGTGCGGGTTGTCGGACCCCAGGGGACGCTACCGTTCGAGCGGGGACCCCTGTCCGACAACACGCACCCATAGCCCCCCTCCGTCCCTGCTATGGGTATGGATGTGTGTGTGTGCTGTTCGTTCGTCACCCCCTGGCTTCTGTCTTCCAACCAGGGGCAGGATCATTTAGCATCGTATCGGGAAATCGGATCGCATCGGAATGCGCATCGAATCGGGCCGCATCGGCACGGAGTCGGTATCCAATCGGATCGGCCGCACCAGGATGCAGAACGGCACAGTGCGAACATCGGGCCGCGTCGGATCGTCGGAACATCGGAATCGAATCGGATCGAACTGGCGGGAATCGACATCGAATTGGATCGATCGGATCGAGCTGGGCTCTGCAAGGTCACAGCGCCTGTACGACAACAGGAAGGCATCGCGGTGGGCGGCCACACTCTGACTTCCGCTTCCATCCAAGGGTGCCGTTATCAGACTTCCCTGCGTCTGGTCGTCCCCCGCCTCGGCTTCCACTCCCCCTCACCCCTCCTCCCCCTGCCCCTCTCCCTTCCCCTCCTCCTCCTCCTCCGCCTCCTCCTACTCCGTCGCCTCATTTTCTCCTCGGCCTCCTCCCCCCCCTCCGTCGCCTCCTTTCCCGCCCCCCCGGCTCCCCCGTCTTCCTCCTCCGCGTCCTCCTCTGTCGCCCACTTTTCCTCCCTGTCCTCCCCGTCCCCCTCCCCTGAGCCGAGGACGGACCCAGAGCCCCCTCGCCGCGAGAAGGGCGAGAGCACAGGAACAAAAATCGGACTGAGCACGTGTCAGCCTGCGGAGGTCCGCGCGGACGTCGTGGAGCGGCGCAGGACCCCCAGGGGCAGCACCGGAGGGGCCGCCAGGAGGTCCCGCGCGGAGCTCGGCGGTGGACAGACCTCCCTGCAGCACAGCACCCTGTAGTGAAAACGCCCTGGGACCAAAATCGACTGGCCTGGGACCCGCAAGATGACGGCCGCGACGCCCTCTCGCGAACCGAAAACGGCCGATTCACGAATCGACGTGTCAGGGTAAGAGGTCTATCAATCTCCGAAGATCCGAGAGATCCGCGCGGACCTCCAGAAGTTCATGGTCGTGCAACGTCTGTTTCTTCGAGGGGTCGCCTTCGGAGGCCTGGCTTCGGACCCCGGGCACCGTCAAGAACGACCCAGGATTGTAAAGGCGGCGCCTGGGCTTCGATTAGAAGATCGACTACAGACTTGATGAACCTCAACGTTGCTGTCCCGCCGCATGTACAAACAATGCTTTGTTGTTTTTCGTCGAACCGACCAGGGGCAGGAAATTCTGCAGTCGATCCCCGACTCGAGGATTGTGGTCGAGAGCTCCTGGGGCCCTACGCCACGCAAAGAACTGCACGGACGGGCGTGGAACGCGCCCCACCCGTCACCCCTGGGGCGCAGGCGGCACCAGAACACGAAAGCGTCGTGCGAGGGGTCCGACATGGCCGGGAAGTCCCTGAAGAGCTCCTGCGCATCGCCCCGCGGACCCAGACCTCCTCCTCCCCCTCCTCCTCCTCCTCCTCCTCCTCCTCCTCCTCCTCCTCCCCCGTCTCCGCCTCCTCCTCCGCCTCCTCCTCCCCCATCTCCTCCTCCTTACCTCCTCCGTCCTTCTCCTCCTCCTCCTCCTCCTCCTCCTTCTCCGCCTTCCTCCTCCTCCTCGCCTCCTCCTCCTCCTCACCACCCGTCTCCGCCTCCCTCCTCCGCCTCCTCCTCCCCCATCTCCACTCCTCCTGCCTCCTCCTCCTCCTCCTCCTCCTCATCCTCCTCCTCCTCCTCCTCCTCCTCCTCCTCCTCCTCCCCCTCCTCCCCCTCCTCCTCCTCCCTCCTCCTCCCCTCCTCCTCCTCTCCTCCTCCTCCTCCTCCTCCTCCTCCTTCTCCTTCCTCCTCCCCCTGCTCCTCCTCCTCCGCTCGCTCACTTCCTCCGCCTCCTCCTCCACCATCTCATCCTCCTCCTCCTCCTCCTCCGCCCTCCATCTCCTCCTCCTCCTCCATCTCCTCCTCCTCCTCTTCTTGTTATTATTATTATTATTATTAGTATCCGTGTTGTTGTTCTTCATAGTATTAGTATTAGTCTTCTTAGTATTAGTATTAGTATTGGTATTAGTACTAGTATTAGTAGTAGTACTAGCATTAGTATTATTATTAGTAGTATTAGTATTAGTATTAGTATTAGTATTAGTATTAGTATTAGTATTAGTATTAGTATTAGTATTAGTATTAGTATTAGTATTAGCATTAGTATTAGTATTAGTATTAGTATTAGTATTAGTATTAGTATTAGTATTAGTATTAGTATTAGTATTAGTATTAGTATTAGTATTAGTATTAGTATTAGTATTAGTATTAGTATTAGTATTAGTATTCGTATTCGTATTAGTATTAGTATTAGTATTAGTATTAGTATTAGTATTAGTATTAGTATTAGTATTAGTATTAGTATTAGTATTAGTATTAGTATTAGTAATAGTATTAGTATTAGTATTAGTATTAGTATTAGTATTAGTATTAGTATTAGTATTAGTATTAGTATTAGTATTAGTATTAGTATTAGTATTAGTATTAGTATTAGCATTAGCATTAGCATTAGCATTAGCATTAGCATTAGTATTAGTATTAGTATTAGTATTAGTATTAGTATTAGTATTAGTATTAGTATTAGTATTAGTATTAAGTAAATAGTTAATTCAGTATTAGTCTATTATTCATATTAGTATTAGTATTAGTATTAGTATTAGTATTAGTATTAGTATTAGTATTAGTATTAGTATTAGTATTAGTAGTATTAGTAGTATTAGTATTAGTATTAGTGTTAGCGTTAGTATTAGTATTAATATTAGTATTAGTATTAGTAGTAGTAGTAGTACTAATATAAGTATTAGTAATGCTATTGTTATAATTATTCGTACGATTATTGTTTACTATTACTATTATTGTTAATAGTATTGGTACGAGTAATATTCTTCATAGTGTTCTTATTATTATTATTCATCTTAGTATTAGTCGTCGCATTCGCAGTAATAGTATTATTCGTCGTCGTATTCTTATTATTCGTCGTCGTATCCTTATTATGCTTCGTATTACTAGTGTTTGTATTAGTCTTCTTCGTAATATTATTAATAGTATTAATAGTATTATTCGTACTACTCTTATTTTGTATGTTTCGTAATCAGTCTTATCAGTATTATTATTACTAGTATTATTCGTATTCGTCTTACTCTTCTTATTATTATGAGTAGTATTATCCTTCGTATTCTGATTACTATTCGTCGTATTCTTATTATTATTATTATTCCTCCTCCTCCTCCTCTTCCTCCTCCTCCTCCTCATCCTCCTCCTCCTCCTCCTCCATCTCCTCCTCCTCCTCCTCCTCCTCCTCCTCCTCCTCCTCCTCCCCCTCCTCCTCCTCCTCCTCCTCCTCCTCCTCCTCCTCCAAGTTCATCCTCCTCCTCGTTCCTCCTCCTCCTCCTCCTCGCTCCTCCTCCTCCTACTACTACCACTACCGCTACTACTACTACTACTACTACTACTACTACTACTACTACTACTACTACTACTACTACTACTAACTACTAACTACTAACTACTAACTACTAACTACTAACTACTACTACTACTACTACTACTACTACTACTACTACTACTACTACTACTACTACTACTACTACTACTACTACAATTACTACTACTACTACTACTACTACTACTACTACTACTACTACTACTACTACTACTACTACTACTACTACTACTACTACTATCCTTATTCCTTATTAGAATATACTCCTACTCCCCCCTCAGGCCGGCCATTAGGGGCCGCATCCGGGGGGTCCCATCCTAACCTGTAAAAAACAATACAAAATCAACAATTTTCTTATTTTTTCCTCTCGACATGGACGTCCTGTCGTCCACGGCGATAATCCATTGCAAAAAATACAACAAAGAGCACACGCGCGCGTTCATGTCAAAATCCTACCGAACACTGTGTGTTTGCAAGCATTTCAACATAAAAACATCAAAAACCCAATGCGTTTTCACAAAAAAAAACTACAAATTTCCTGCCCCGGCTCTCTTGCTGAAATCATTTTAATGAAACCCATATAGGGGCATATAAGAGGAATCTTAAGAATTCTGTCAAATCCAGCGATTTCACGTCATCGCGCGGTGCACTCGCGATGCTCTGTCATGCACCCAGGCCGCGAATCCTGTGCAAAAAATAACACAAAGAGCACACTCGCGCGTTCATGTCAG